TATAACACGAGCACATTTTCTGTCCTTTTTCCTTCCACTTCACGTGTCCTGAATTCTGCTGGATTAATTTAACCTGAGCCTGAAGAGGCAGCAAACCAAGGGCAGGTGGCTGAGCTCCAATCCTTGGCTCCTGCGTCAGAGTCATAATCACTCACATCAAGGCTGTTCTCTGTGATTAACTAGCACTTCCACATCCAGTAGGTCTTTATCCCTCAGAATAACAGAAGCTAAGGCCTCTGGGGTGCAGTGACATCCCCGGCATCACATGGCTGAGAAAAGGCAAGCCTTAGGTTTGAATTTGATTTTTTTTTGATGTTAAGTCCCCTACTTTTTCTTTCAGCTCAGGTTGAGATCAAATGCCTATAGGGGACAGGTTGATAATAAAGAGATGTGGGTTGGCGTAGAATTATTAGCTATTAGTAAGAACTGTGGGAAAGTGGATGGTGTATTAGCTTTCCCATTGCTGGGATACAAGACACAACATCCACAACTTAAAGGAGGAAAGATTTGTTTTGGCTCACAGTTTCAGAGGTTTCAGTCCATGGACACCTGGCTGCAAAGCAGAAACATCATGGTGGAAGGGTATGGTGTTGCACAGTTGCTCACTTCTTATTGGCTGAGAAGCAGAGCATGGGGAAGCTAATGAGCAATGCACCCTCCAGCTAGGGTCAGGGGATTAATCCACTGAGAAGTATAGCAACCTCTTGATCCTCTCCAGGAGCCTCAATCCAGTCAAGGTGATAATTAAGATTAAGTAGCACAGAGGACATGCTTTGCCTAATGGCATTAAAATGCAAAAACATTTGCTATAGTTTGGAAGTTGCATCCATTCTAAGGTACAAGTGGTAGAGGCTTGGTCTTTAGGCTGTTGCTGTTGGAAGACAGGATCTTTAGGAGGTAGTAGGTAGTGGGAGGTCCCTAGACCACTGGAGGGATGCTCTTGAAGGGGATTGTGGCACCCTGGTCTCTCAGTCTTCCTTCTGCTTCCTGGCTCATGAATTTAGCAGATTTTGCTCTGCCATATGCTCCTGCCATGATGTGCTGCCTTGCCAGTGTGCCAAAGCAAATGGGACCACCCAACCTTGGACTGGAGCTTCCAGAACTATGAGCCAAAACAAATCTCTTCTCTTTATAAGTTAATTGCCCCAGGTATTTCATTATTGTGACAAAAAGCTGACTAATAAAACATTTAAAAAGCAATAGAAAAAGAGAAACCCATTTATTATATCACCCATTCAGGGCCTAGTCTATAATCTACCTCCTTGTTGGTGGAAAATGGAGAGCATTTGCATAGTGTCATTGCCATTGAGCTTTACTTGATGACACTGGTAAGCACTACCATGGTTGTAGTGCAGTAATTCTGTGGCATGAGGCAGTGTAGTACGTTAAAGATAAATAAGTGAACACTTCTGTTGCTTTTAGAATAGAATTAGAGCTTTTAGAACAGAATTCCAAACCCAGACATATGAGGATCCTACCCACCATCTCTCCTCTCCTTGAGTTTCCAAGGGATGGTATTCAAAGTCCTAGTACATTAATGGTTGTGCAAGCCCCTGACACCCTTTTGCACAATCTGGTCAAAGGTTCTATTTGCCTTTCCTCACTTCTTTCCTCTTTCTGTCATCTCAATAGAGATCATGGAAACTGGTTGCTCAAGTCAATATGCTGAAAGGCAGTGACCATGACTGTGAGATGAGAAGCCCCCCAAGGGACCCCAAATTTGCCTTCTAACCCTGGGCCTGGGCCTGGAGAAGAAAGAGGGAAAAGTGTTACCCTTGCCTTGGAGGAGAGTAACCCCACCCACTAGGGAAGTGTGGCCCAGTGAAGGCCCTGGAGTTTGGTTAGTCCATAAAAACTCTCTTTTGAGGGAATTAGTGAGGGAGTGGGCCTAGTACTCCTAGGACTGGTGGGGTTAGTGTGGGAACGGGGCGGAAGTGTGACCTACTCAAGACAGAACTGGTTAAGTCTGTAGCCCCAGAGAATGCAGCTCTGCCATCTACCAGCTGTTATTTACCAGCATCCTCCAGCATTTTCACCCATAAAATATGAGTATTTAAAATATGAGGGGATGAGGATTAATCTTGAGAAGGATGTGCATTGTTCAGTGTGAGTTTTCTTGTTTTATAGTCTGCCTTGTTGTCTTCTTGAGCTGCTCAGTTTAGTGAAGACCTGAGGAAACCTTCAAAAGCTGTCAGAAAGTTTAGGGAAAAAACAATTCGTAGAACAAGAATTGACAGCAGTCTGCCAATTTTTCCTCTTCAGAACTTGCCACTTGTCCAAATGCCCTGATTCTATCTGTTTTTTTTTTTTTCTCTCTAGTTCCATATCCTCAGATGGTCCTAGGGCACTGGAATCCTGGGCAAGGCAGCTGGGATTCTGCTGGATAGGATTTGGCTCTCAAGTGTGTTTCTGGTGAGGTGCTACTGGGATCTAACTCCAACTTAACTGTGATGCAGCTGAAGCTCCTTTCTTCCTTTCCTTCTTCCTTCCTTCCTTCCTTCCTTCCTTCCTTCCTTCCTTCCGTCCTTCCTTCCTTCCTCTCCTGGGGATTGAAGCCAGGGCCTTCACACTGAGATACATCTCCAACCCTTTTAATTTTTATTTTGAGACAGGCTCTCACTAAGTCACGAAGTTGCCTAGCTTGGACTTGAACTTACCATCCTCCTGCCTCAGCCCCCCCAAAGAGCTAGGACAGTTGAGACTTTTCCTCAGTAGTCTTTTTCTCATTTGTCCTCATCTGGCTCCTTGTGGGACAGAAAATTTAAATTTATTCAGACACAGCATTGCACTGATACTTTCCTCCTGGCAGTCTTATTCATTTCCTTTAGCATGTTTTACATAAGACAATGAAAAATAGTTCATAGATAGTATTGGCTGACACCAGATTAGATTCTTATTAATGTGATATTCTCATCAATGTGAAAGAATAGAACTGACAGAATATATGGTATACTATAAACTCTCATTTGCTCTTAGTTTTCACCCCCATGATGTTTTCGTTGAGACCCGTTTACAGAATAAAGGCTCAGCGAGGTAAAAGCAGGAACAAGTCTGAAATGCAAGTAATTTACAAATTCCATATATTTTAGAACAGTCAGTTCTATACCCTTGGTATGATTTCTCTCTTTCTCCCTCTCTCCCTCTTTTCATTTCCCCACATCTTTAGCCATTCCCTCCTTGCTAAGCCCAGATAAAAACTTGACAGAAGTGAAGGGCATTTTCCAGGAAATCATGATCCCCAGATTCTAGTCCCAGCTCTGCAGTTCTTAGCGGAGCGACCATCACCCCGTGGACTCAGCTTTCTGAGTAGGGAGTAAATAGAGGACTGGGCTGGACCCTGAGAGGAAGGGGCTCTAAGTTGTCACTGCTCTGCCAGCTTGGGGCCTGTGGGTCTCAGCGGCTGGTCACTCAGAATCCCCAAAGCAGACACATCCTGCAGGACAAGAGAATCGGCTCAGTCACACACAGCCCGGCCACTCTAATAGACACTGGTGCCTCTGGCCGCTTCCCAGAGCCACCAGCCAAACCAGAGGCGAAGCTGGCCGGCAGAGCAGATGAGTATGTTGGAAAGCCCAACGCTGTCTCTAAACACAGCATCCTGGAAATGCCCACGTCCCCAGGAAGGGGGTCACTGAGCCCATTCGCTTGGTGGTGCAGAGCAAGCGTCAGGCAAACCAGGATTTGAACGCTGACCCTGGCTCCAGTAAGCGGCTCTCTGACCTAGGGCAGTACTCTGGCAGTGCCTCACTGTCATCCCTCGTACAATGGGGACAGTAGTTTATCACTTCGCGTTAGGGTGTCCGCAGGCTAACAGCACTGGCCAAGCGTGGGTCCCGGAAGTGCTTAGTAAACGGTAGTTGTAGCCGTCTGAGCCTTTATTCCCCGCAGTCTCTGTGGACTTGCGCCTGAGCTCCCCCCTCAAGGCTGGGCGGCTCTGGCACCCGGCCGAGACCCAGCCGTGCCAGGGCGCCCAGTTCGGAGATGCTGCCGATTGGGATGTGATTACTCCCTGACTGAGGAGCCTCAGCGTTCTGGCCCCGCGCCGGAGGGCCGGCAATATTTAGCATACTCTGCTTGAATCCCTAATTAAGTTATTTGTCAAAACTGCCCTTTTCAAGGTCTCGTCCCCTTTTCTCAACTCCTTCTGGCCCCTTCTCTCTGGGTCCCTGACAGAACAGAACAAAGCAGTGCGGGGCTCCTGGACTGCGGGGTCTGCGGAGGAGGTGACGATGGCCGAGGGGCTCGCCCGGCGGAGGACTTGCTCGCCCCAGGCCGCTCCTCTCCAGGCTGCGGCCCCTGCCGGAGGCACCGTCTCCACGCTGCCGGCGGATTCGGGTTTCCTGGCCAAGCCCGACTCGCAACTCACACCTGTGCGACTCCTCATCTTTCATCCAGACAGCTTGCCAGCGCTCTGCTGGGAAGCGCAACTAAGTCGCACTAAGTGTTTTTTTTTTCTTTCCATTTTCCAGGGTCCACCTGGTAAAAATAAAAGAAAATAAAACACAGGAAGCCCAGGATTTGTCATTTGTTTTGTAAAGGGCAGAGGTCACGTGACTGCGAGTAACCGCTCTCACCCAGCGCTGCCAGCACCTCGGGCCGCCGCAGAGCCGCCCCACCCGCGGCGCTGACGTCACGGAAAAGCCCGGCGCTCGCTATAAACCCGGCCGCGCGGTGCAGGCGGAGCACGGACGGCGGCACGGACCTCGCGGAGCGCGGACCCCGCGGAGCTCTCGGCGCTCGGCGGCCCGCTTTCCCATGCGCAGAAGCCCACCCGGCAGGCCCAGCCGAGCCGAGTAAGGGGGCGGCGCGGTCTCGGCGGCTGGGCGGCGGGCAGCGAGGGGGCGTGTCCGGCCCGCAGAACTTTCCAAGTTGATCCGGGGACCCCGGGCGTGCCGCCTGAGCCAGGGGCTTCTAGGGAGAGACGAGCCCGGTTGCAAAGGGTGCGCTCCCCACCCGCAGGCTCCTTAGCTCAGCTCAGAAGAGGCCCCTGGTCCGCCCTCAGGGACTCTACTGTCTTGGTGTGGGTGCACGTCGGCCACCCAGGGGCTACTTTGCCGTCTGCAAACCTGGCCCGGGGTCCTGATTCGTGAGCGAGGTGCCGGGGCAGGGTGTAGGGGTGAGGTCTATGCGTTCCTCGCTGTCACGCGTGGATCTTGCTGAGTCAAGTGTGAGCGATTCCACTTGCTCTCCAGCAGTCTGAGAGGACAGGCCTCGGTGCTGGGGGAGGCGGTCCTGCAAGGTGAAAGTTGAAGCAAGTTGTTGAGTGTCATTTTCAGGAGCTGGTTTGCTTCAGGAAGGTGGAGCTCTGAGTTGAATTGCAAGGAATCTCAGAGTGGACGTGGTGTGCTAAGAGTGAAGGCATTCTCTGTAAATCTGATGGGTCTGCACGGGAGCAGCTCATTCCCCTGCCAGAAGGACCAGGCGCGGGGCTGCGTGTGGTCAGCGTGGCACCTGTGCGCAGGAGGGCAGAGCTGAGGCGTAGACCCCCAAGTGAACTCGCCCCATCCTCACATAACGGTCTCTTTGGGCAGCTGAAGAGTATCAGGGCGACTTTACTAAACATGGAAGTTGTCTTAAGTCTTGTCCAGTCCAGCCAGGGGCAGTGATGTCATTGCCACGTGTTTCCCACAGAGGCACAGAAGCCTGCAAGGAGGCTGGGGCCAGTAAGAGCCATGTTTAGACAAGAGCGAGCAGCTAACCTGGCCAGCCGTGCACAGCCGCACTGACTTGTTGCTCTTTCAGCCTTCTCTAGAGGCTGTGGGTTCCTTCCAGCTGCCTGCGTGCCAGCTCTGAGTGGGGAGTCCGAGGCTTTTTTGAGGATGGAGGAAGCTTATGGGCAGTGGGTGATGTTAACGGTATTTTTCTCTATGTAAATGATGGTTTGCCAGACGAACTGGTTGCTAACAGTGAGGGTGTGTGTGTGTGTGTGTGTGTGTGTGTGTGTCCATCCATTTGAAAGCCTGGCTTGTTGGGGTTTGGCAACTTTAATTGTTGGTTCTGATACATCCGGTAAGATAGATGGTAAGACTGGAGAAGGGCCATGTGTTTGAGACTCCTGAACTCTCCCTCGTGTTTACTGATGCTGGCATATTGGTTGCTTTGCTTCCTAGGACCCCACGATGACTCTGAATAATGTCACCATGCGCCAGGGCACTGTGGGCATGCAGCCACAGCAGCAGCGCTGGAGCGTCCCAGCCGATGGCAGGCACCTGATGGTCCAGAAAGAGCCTCACCCGTACAACTACCACAACCGCCCCTCAGCCCCTGATGACCACTGCCGGCAGAGCTGGTCCTCGGACTCCACAGACTCCGTCATCTCCTCCGAGTCGGGGAACACCTACTATCGAGTGGTGCTCATAGGGGAGCAGGGGGTGGGCAAGTCCACCCTGGCCAACATCTTTGCAGGTGTGCATGACAGCATGGACAGCGACTGTGAGGTGCTGGGAGGTAGGTGGCCTAGCCCCAAGGGGCTTCTGTCCTCAGCAGTGGTCCAGGCAGTGACAGCCAGGTGATAGGTCATTTGTCTGTGGAGTTGGGAGCTGAGGTTATATGTTCTTAGCACTGGATGGGGAAGTGGGGCCCTGGTACAGGCCCCCAGGACAGAAAAATGAAAATACCTGTAGACAAGATCCACATCTGTTCGACCTTGGCCATAAGGGGAATTTCTGAGATTTTCAGTCTGAAGCATCTAGGGGAGGCTGCTCAACGGGACAGAGCCAGAGGTCAGGATCCACTTCTGGCATTTACTGACTCTGACCTGGATCCTATTCCAGGAGTTCAGTGTAGACATAGCCTTTTCCCATGGTTGGTCTTAAAAGCAAACCAATTTGAAAAAAGTGTTAGGAGAGCTTATCAGTTTATTTCCATCAACATTAGATACTTTTGTGGGTATAAATTAGTTCATTATCTGTATTTGAAATAGTACAATAATTTTTAAAAATTTGAAATATAACAATGATAAATGCTTTTGTAGAGTATTATAGTTTTTTTAAAGATAATTTTCCCTGTAGAGTCTCATGCCATTTATTTTTTGAAGGCTTTCCTATTTTCAAAGCTGTTTTGAGGCGACATTATCTCATGAAGTATTCTTCAACAGGTGGAGTACAGCCTTTTATCTATGACTGATATGAGGAACCTGGTAACCAACAGATTCATACAGTGTTATTATTCATACAGTCCTTATTATTATTATTGTTATTATTATTCATACAGTCCTTCAGCCACAGCTTCTGTCCTAGCACACATGAGCAGGGCCACCAGGTGTCCCGGTTTACAGCTGTGGAAATGAAGGAAGAACTGTCCAGTGCTTGCAGTGCTTCCCTAAGTCACTTGGTCTCTCTGCTCTCAGAGGCAACACAGGACTGAATCACAGGCATCCAGAGTAGGAAGATGACTTAGTGGTGACTCACTTGTCCCCACTCAGTGGGTATGAATCCTGTCTCTCACTACAATAGCCCATTTCACCTAAAGGTCTTTTTTTTTTCTTTTGGTACTGGGGATCGAACTCGGGTCCTTGCGCTTGTGAGGCAGGCGGCGAAACCACTGAGCTAAATCCCCGGCCCCTCACCTAAAGGTCTTATTCTTACTTAACTTTCTCAGTGTCATGGAGTTCAAGCTACTTCAAGAAGCAGCTCAGGAGCTGAGCTATAGATGATGACTCATTGATGTAACATCGATTTCTCTCCTCACTTCTGGAATCACAGGAACCATAGCTAAGCAAGATTCAAGGGAGAAATGGGACCAGTGTGAGACAGTGGAGTCTCTTTCTTTGTGAAGGCTGGTGGGTGGCTGTGGCTAGAAGAGAAAGAAAGAGCTAACATTGGAAGGGACATTTGCAATGGGTACGGTTTATTAGGTGTCTTATATTTGCTATTGTTTACTTTGACCCTCACAAAAAATTTTTTTTTTTTTTTTTTTTTTTGGTACCGGGGATCGAACTCAGGTCCTTGCGCTTGTGAGGCAGGCGGCAGAACCAGAGCTAAATCCCCGGCCCTCCTCACAAAAGTCTTGTACTCATGAGTGAATGGAGTAAAAGGGAGACCTGGTGGCTGACCTTGAGTCACCCAACGGACAGGCTGGCTTTAGATTTTGGGATTTTATGACTTTAGTTCAGTGCTTTTTCTCATTTATAGGACACCTGCTATGTGCTGTATTTCCCACATATATTTTTGTAATATAAGAATGGAACCAATATTTTATGAGTGAGGAAGTGGAGACTTACAAAGTCCACAGACTTTCCAGGGTGAAAAACCTATACATAGTACAGCCAGGATTCAAACCTAGTTGTGGTTATTCCTAAACCCTCTGCAGTGGATTTGAGTTCTGAGTGCTATTAAGTGCATACCCCAGCCACATGCCTACCTATATGCTGGGCTTGGAGGAGCTGGTGATGGATGAGGCACACCATGCACTCTTAGTAAGGAGCTCTGTGTCCGTGGCTGTAATTCAGAGCAGGGGGAAATTAAGAAATATCCTAAGAAGTAACAATAAAGTGCTTTGAGGATTGACACAAAGAAGAGATGAACTGTGAGTTTAGTCCTTGTTCTTTTTTTTTTTTTTTTCCAGGCCTATACATTGAGCTACATCCCAACCCTTTTTACTTTTTGAGACAGGGTCTCACTAAATTCCAAGGCTGGTTTTAGACTAGACTTGTAATCCTGCAGTCCTAGTGCTGGGATTACAGGTACATGCCACCATGGCCAGCCTTTTGTTTGTTTTTAAGAGGTAGAAAACACAGAGGACGATAGACTTTCAAAAATGTTTGTCATTAGAATGGGGTGGTGTGTATCCAGAGGGTGCATCCCCGTAGGCATAGAGAATTAAGACTGATTCATATCTGGAATTTCGGAAGTGGGCTTCTCTACTTGGGAGAGCTCTTTGTTGAAAGGAAGAGGAGAGAGAAAGGATCTGTATCTTATCTCCTTAAACTGAGTCTCTGACAAAGAGAAACAGCTCAGGTGACCTGTCTGTGTCCTAATTTATACCGTCAAGGATCACACCCTTTATTTGTAGATACTGTTTGGAATCATGAGTTGGCTTTGTTTTCCAAGAGGAAGGTTTTCCAATGCATACTGCTGCGTTGTCTTTTTTTTCCAGCATTAACCATAAGAAAAACAATCTACACAATATTTTCATCATTGTCTCTCCTAATAAAGATGGATGTTGTTACAGTTAATATTGCAGTAATCTTACGACTCTTTGTGCACACTCAATGCCACTCATCCATCCATTCATTCATCCATCCATTCATTCATTCCTAAGCGGTGACTGAACACACACTGCCGAACTTGATGAGGCACTATGCAGAGTCCTGGGGCCGTGTCCTTAGGGGGCTCATGGCGTGTGGTGGAGGTCAGACAGACACAAGCTGTAAATCAAGCGAGGGCATGATGAGTGTCTTGAAAGAGTTACAAGGATAAAGTTCCGTGAGAAAGTGGAATTCAGAGGAGAAAAGAGTTCTGGGTGTAGAAATCAGAGAAGGCCTTGTGGAAGAGGTGGTGTCTGAGTTGGACCCTAAAGACAAGCAGGATTTTGGAATCCTGAGCTAGGGGAGAAGGGGGTCTGTACTTACACAGGGAAGTATGGGGAAGAACACTCCACTTGGAGTCTGTTGTGTGCACTTGGACCTGCTGTGATGCAGACTTAGCTGGGCGCTCTTGGCCAAGCCACTTACCCCCTCCCCCAGGTTTCCTTGTCAGTAGTTGGGATAACTCTTCATAGGCTGTTACGAGAATTAAAGGAGGTAACATTAAGCATGTATGTAGCACACTGTTGGCACATAGGAACTGCAGAATAAACATTGGTTACCGCCAATTGGGGAGGCACCATTTTCTTCCCATGTGTGTAACTTCTACAACTATGGTTGTATTGCTCTTGGCCCCTGTCCTGTCTCTATTCCCCTTCACACCCCATCACTCTTACCTAGGATCTTTCAGATGTTCAGAGGAGACCAGGAGAAGAGAGGGCAGGGATTTCTTCCAGGGTTCCCTGGGACCCCCGGGGACCCCCTGGGCCCTGAAAGCTGAAACTGGGTGGAAAGGTCTGGAGGGTAGGTACTGGAACCTCAGAACATCTTGGGCACTGCAGGAGCCAGACCCAGCATGAGACAACTGTGCAGTTCCACTCAGCGCATGAGCCAGGTCTGGGCCCGAGAGACCTCTAAACACAAGGGGTGTCAAGGAGAAAAGTCTATGGTAGGAAGTCTTTATTCAGGGCGAATGCAATAGGCATCAGGGCTATTGCAGTAGGAGAGAGAGATTGGGCTCAACTCCAAATACAATGAGAACAAGTGGTGATTTACAGCCAAGGAGCAGGTTGGGAAGATATGTGGATGGAAAATTACTAAGAAGGGACAACAAGGTTAGGGGGACTCTTGCTAAACCAACAATAGAAGTCTTGTTGAAGTTGGGCCAAGGAGTTAGACATCAAAGGTGGGAGATGAGGAATTTGATCAGATATTACCGGTGGGAGCGGGGGATTCTCACTAAACTGACTCATCAGGATTCTGGCAGGATTCACTGAGCTGGACTGTGCAAGGGCAGACATGGAAGCTCAGGGTGAAGGCTGAGTGCAGGAGAGGGTTTGTCAGAGCCTGATGCAAGTTTGATCAGGGAGGAGCTTTTGTCGGGGGGTTCAGATGAGGAAAGCCAGACCAAACTGCCTTGGTCCAGGGAAGAGGGATGCTGACTGCGGTCCCCCTGTAGAGCCTCCTCGGCCCCATCACGGCCCCATTTTCTTGGTATGCTGAGTATGCATGAGCACCGGAGCTTTCATCCGCATGAGGACAACCCCAGACCCCTGTTGCTGGGAAGCCTTACAGGATGCTAGGCCTGGTCCCTTTCTCTAACTCTGAGCAAATTTCAGAAAGCTCTCTAGAGGTCTAGGTTCTTTGATTTCCCTTTCCCCCACCTGATTAACACTGAAAAGACTTAAAATATGAGCTGAGGACCAAGGGAGGGAGAGAAACCTTGAGCTTTGGTTGCAAGCACCTGGTTAGTGGGAGGCCGCCTGACAGGTGCAGGGGATGGTGTGCTGGGAAAGTCCTTGGGATGTATTTTTCTGGTCCCCACATCTCCAACACGGTGGCTTTTCGTACCAGGGAAACTTCCAGAATGGCAGAGCATCTAGTTTCTACTTTCACAACTGTAATCCTTAGCCTACTTTTTCTCTAGACTTTTCTTATCTGTGTTATACTAAGAGAAAGTGGGGTTCACCCTGCCCCTCAGCTGCTGGAACAGTGTGTTGCTGTGTGAACTGTGGGTCTCTTAAATCCCCTGCACTTGTTTTTGGGTGATGAGTGTCGCCAAGGGCAGAGAAAGTGACCTCTTGAGTCTTCTGGGTGCAGGGAGGGGTTTTAGCCCAATGATGAAAACTCTGTGGTAGCAAAGGGCAGTCAGCCCTGCCCGTGGGCCAGGCTCAGCCTGCGCAGGTCTGCACGCTGAGCCAGGCCCTGCTCTCTGGGAGTGCATCCACTGTGGTCTCTTTCATGCTGCCCATCATGTTGTGGGCCCACGAGCAGGATGAACATGCTAGTCCCCCCGCTGGGAAGCAGATTCCTCTGATTAGAAGAATGACACTTTTGGAGGTGGGGAAATGGACAGATAGAGCCACCTCAGGTTACCTTTCTTTTCCTTTGCTGTATTTTCTTTCCTTTCCCTCTCCTGATTTTGGTCTTTAGGTAAGGAAACATTAAACCACGAGCACTGTTTCCACGAACCCCTCACTGTTATAAAGTGCCCCCCCCGCCCCGCCCCTCCACACTCTGACACCAGGATTTACACAGAGCAGGAGTCTGCGTATGGCACGGGCCAGCTTCTCATCTGAGCACGTGATGATGGCAGCCAACACTTAGGAAGTTTCTGCTTTGTGCTCAGGCTCTGTGTGTGGTTTTCACACACCCTGAGGGGTGGATGCTCTTCTCAGTCCCATCTCACAGATGAAGAAAGCTGAGTGTCAGGGAACTGATATAAATGGTCCATTTCCACATAATTAATAAGCAAGGGAACCCAGATTCTGATTCACATTTGCTGTGGTCACAGCCACACACTGTGTTTATCATCCATCCATCCACTCACTTATTCATTCATTCACTGGACACATTTTTATCGAGCACCTGCACTGTCCCAGGTACTGTCCTGGGTTCTGGGGGCCACAGCATACAGCACAAATGCAAATCTCTGTTCTAACATTCTGGGAAGCAGGCAAAGCAAATAATAAAATAACTATGTTTCATGTATTGCATATTAGGTGACAATAAGGACAGAGAATCATAGGACAAGGAGTAAGGAATTGTTGCTGAGGGCAAGGTGTTGCAGTTTTGAATTGGTGGTCGGGATACCTTCCCCAGAAAGCAGAAAGGGAACAATCCTTGAGGATAGCTGAGGGAAGAGATTATAGGCAAAAGGGCCAACAAGAAAAATGATAAATCATTAGGAAAGTTATTACCTTTAAACAATGAAATTCAAAACAGGAAACCTCACTGTGAAAACAGAGCAGGAGAGGGTTCCATGGCACGGGGTTGATGGGAATCCTGCTTGTAGAAATCCCAGGACACCTTACTCGCCACCCCCTGGCAGATTTTTCCAAGCTGCAGCTGCTTTGGCCCATTGCTCTGTGCTTCACTCCACACAATCTGGGCTCAAAGGCAGGGAGTAGAGTTTCCATTGCCAGGGAGAGTGGGGGCTGTGCTTCTGCGCTACTCAAGATGGAAAAGCAAGCTCATTTAGTCCTAGGGAGCTGGTTAGGGTTTATTCCAAGGGAAGAAAAGTACGGTCTGAACATGGGTAGCCACAAGATGTTTTTCTTGTACTGCCGCAAAAAGGAGACATCCCTGAGCTCAGAGCTCCCGGAGTTGCCAGTGAGAGTTTAGGAACCACCCATTGAAAGGGACAGTGGATTTCCAGGTAGAGCTTATGAAAATGGGGCTCACAGTTAATGCTTACTAACAGCCTCTTCTGTTGGATGAGTCAAAAGCTCTTTTGTGATTTTAGCCTCATAAATGGTTTTCTTATGTAAAAGCTCCAAGAATGATGGCAACGAATGCCTTTTAATTCAAGCGGTTTGAGAGATCTTAGTACTGGAGGAGTATACAAAATACGTTGTTGAAGATGACAAGATTAGTAATTTATCGTTGCAGATATTTCTGCATTTGCATACTTAGTTGCATATTTAGTAAGTTTATTTTCTAGCATAGCTTTCTCTGTGATCTTCTTAGGTCAAAGTGCTGCATATTCACCTGACTCCAATGCCAATGTTCTTTCTTTTCTAGAAGATACATATGAGCGCACCCTAATTGTTGATGGGGAGAGTGCGACAATCATCCTCTTGGACATGTGGGAAAATAAGGTATGCAGAGCCTGTAGCTCTTGGCGAATATTTTTAGGGCTTGCATTTCAACAGGCTGGTGTGAGGGTGACCTTGTTCTCCATAGTGGCTGTTGCAGATGAGGCAGGCTCATTTCCTTGGTTAAAAGCGTTGACTTTTGAAAAACAAGACTGTTTTAAGGAGCAGGTCATTCACAGGTGAGCTCTGAATAGCAAACAAGTTGCAGTGCTTTGCCTTTTGTTCTACTGAAAAAACACAAAAAATGTATTTGTTTTAGGAAATATTCAAACAAGCACGCACAGTATTTTGAACCCTTAGAATCATCGTGAAGTTGACATTCTCAACACTCGTCTTCAACATTTGCCTTCTGAAGGTTTTAGATGTCTGAGCATATATGCTAGGCCTTCTGTTTATTAAGAACCTTCCTATTCTCACCAAAGGATTCTTAATTTCATCCTTGGGAAAGGCAAAAGGAAGTTTTTTTAGAAAGTCAGAAGAGGCCCATTTTTGGGTAGTTTAGATAGAAATGCTGTTTGGCAGAGTAGTTATGTAATTTTTCAACTCAAGCTCTAGAGGAAATTGGAAAGAAACAAATTTGGGCATAAGTACGATGCAGGCCAGCAATCTTCACAGCCCTCGATATCCCGTAGGCATGAAGAGCATGCATTTGGGGGCATTGTGGGTGGCTTTCCTTCTCTCTGTCCACCTCATTTCCCAGGTTGCCCTGAGCTCATGGGAGATCTTTCCTCTGTGTAGGGGGAGAATGAGTGGCTCCAGGAGCACTGCATGCAGGTTGGGGACGCCTACCTGATTGTCTACTCCATCACTGACCGGGCGAGCTTTGAGAAGGCATCAGAGCTCCGGATCCAGCTCCGCAGGGCTCGGCAGACAGAGGACATTCCTATAATTCTGGTTGGCAACAAAAGTGACCTGGTGCGCTGCCGCGAAGTGTCTGTATCAGGTAAGATGGCTAGTGCCACCCCGTGGAAACCACCCGGGGTCATAGGCACTGGCCTTCACACAAGAGCTCTTCCCTTCCTCTTGCCTGAGGCTAGAACCAGGGTCTCATTAGAGCCCTATGTGGAGCTGGATGTGTACCTTCTAAGACCGCTACAGTCCCATCTCCCTGCTGGTTGTGCTGCCTTATTTACCTGGTCTCTCTGCAGGATTCCAGTCTCCTCACTCCCAAGGGCTTTCCTGGAATTTTTTTAGGGAAGAGATCACGCTCAGGGGTTTACTGGCCATGCCCAGGTTTTTCTTTGTCCTTTCATTCTCCGAGAAGATCTCAAGAGTTTAGGAAGGGAGCATAGCATCTTGGTGTAAGAAGAATGGGGACTTATGATGCAGAGGAATTATGGGAAAAGTTTCATTGAGAAAAAGAATTAGACTCTTGCTACTGCTGGTCTCTCTAACCCTGGAAATACTGTGTCCTCCTACCCTGCCCCCGCCCCATCCCTTGCTTCCTAAATTTCAGTTAAGAGATAAGTCACATGGTGTCACATATACTTTGTCATACTAGCTCAAGGTTAATTCCTATTTGCTGAGTGGGCACCCAAGAGATCTTAGGGCCAGTGAGATTTTATTGGCCTAATATAGACAGTGTCCCTGGTACAATCATAAAAATAAAATACAGCATTGCCAGGTCCTGCTCAGGAGAAAAGAAACCCAGTCAAGACAATGTACTCACCTAGTTGGGGATGTCTTACTGCTGGGACATGACTGTCTATAGCAGTCACATCTTAAACACAGAAACATATTTGAAATTGAGACTTTCCCAGAAATGGTTGAATAATTTGATGTAACTGTATTTGTAAAATCTTGTCTTTTTTCAAAATATCTTATCACAGCTTTTTTTTTCTTTAAAGAGAGGAAAGCCAAGTAGTAGAATTCTAATTTCTTATTGAGAAAACAGTCAGGAGAAAGAATCTGGCCTGAGAATTAAACAGGATGGATTTACCATCACATACAGGATGTGTGGACTCCCTCAAGTTTTTAAAAGACACCCCTCCATTTTCCTCATCTATTTGAATGGGGGTTGTAATTTATTTTCCAAGATTGTTATGAACATTGAAAATAGAGAACTTAGCCTAGTTCTTGGCCCATAGTAAGCCTGTAATCACTGAAACTAAGGGCACAGCGTTGCCGTTATGATGACTTTCCCTGTATTTGGTGACCCTGGACCCTCGTACAGGGAAGTTGTGGTAGACCAGGCCGAAAGCCCATCTTTCCTGCTTCCAGGCATCCTCCTGCCAGACTCAGGCCTTGGGAGGGCGTGCGTCCTAGGGCTGCCCCGTCTGACCCGGCTACCATTGTCCCAGCGCAGTTTTCGGCAGTGGTCCTCCAGCGTGGCTGGGGGCCGGCTTCGCGCACCCTCTGACTCTTTCTGGCCTTTTCTCACCAGAAGGGAGAGCGTGTGCTGTGGTGTTCGACTGCAAGTTCATCGAGACCTCCGCGGCCGTGCAGCACAACGTGAAGGAGCTCTTTGAGGGCATCGTGCGGCAGGTCCGCCTCCGCCGGGACAGCAAGGAGAAGAACGAGCGGCGACTGGCCTACCAGAAACGGAGGGAGAGCATCCCCAGGAAAGCCAGGCGCTTCTGGGGCAAGATCGTGGCCAGAAACAACAAGAACATGGCCTTCAAGCTCAAGTCCAAATCTTGCCACGACCTCTCTGTGCTGTAGGCACCCAGTACTACCCAGATGTCCTCTGTTGGACATCATCGAAGGCCACTGGGACCAGTAATCTATATTAGATTGGATACCTAAGCATTGGTAGATGTAGCATCCCCCGTTGCAGCCGAGAACTAACATGTTAGCCTTGTGGGCAACAAAATGCATGGGAAATGAAAGATGTTTGCACAGTCAGTATTTATTTATAGGAAAAGCTGATCTTGCTACTTGTACAGTCAAGGCTCATTACCGGGCATATTTGATGTTAGCAAGAGTTTTCTCTCTCTTTGGATAGTAGGGAATTGGAGCTTAGGAAAGAATGCCTAGAAGAGGAATTTCATCAGTGACATTTTACCCAGGGCTCTTATGTGACTTTGAGGCCATTGGGTCATATGGACATGGGAAGCTGTCACAGGGCTTCCTCAGAAGGAGAGCTTTCTGCGTCCCTTGTCTCCCGGACCTGTCACTGCAGGACTTGGCTCATCGTGGTCACGACTATTACTGCTCCATCAAACTGTGAAAAAGAAAAGATGGACCGTGCTGGAAACTAAAGCTTAGCTCATAATTTTTGTTCAGCCCCCACAGGGATTTATAGGATGGGGAACTGCTCTATGTACCCCTTCCATGTTGAAAAACTGCATCTTTACTTATGTGTCTAATACTTCTTTATTTGGGGAATATTATTTTCATCAAATTCTACTTAGTCAAGCCACCTTTTCTGTTTTGTTATTTTTGAAATCATGGAGCCATTGTAAAAATATTTTAAAAGTCTGAATTATTCATAACCTGAATTGCAAAATGCCAAATTTTTAAGATCTGAATTTTTATAAAATATAACACAAAAACTTCCAGTAGTTTGAGTTGACCCTTGTATGTCACAGCTCTGCTCTATTTATTATTTGCAAAATATACATTTTAAGATTTGATAAAGCATATTTATGAACATATTTCTTAAGGAAAATGTCCATTTTATTACCATTTTCTATCTTTTTCAAAATATACAAGTTTTTATCTATATGTCTTATAATAAAAGAAATAAAATCTTTGAAAACAAAGTCATTCTGTCTTCCTCCCCAAACAAGATGGTTATGATTTTTTTATATATAGCCTTTAGAACAAGCGTATTCCAAAGAGACCGACCTATTACATTATTTCATTTTTTCATTAGTAGCACACAGTCGTGATCTGTTTTAAAGAGAATTCCTGACATTTCTTCTTTGGAGTCATGATTCACAGTAATGCAAAGTTATTTTTGGCTCATTCAGTTGGGAAGTATTTGGGGTCATCTAAATGCTATGCTATAATCAGAGCCAAATTGACCTTTTACGTTGGTCTGGCAAATTCCTGCCTGAACAGATGGGTCTCACTTTGTTCCCTGAAAGCTTATGGTCTTAAGCTTGGTTAAAGCTCTAGAGGAAGTTAAAAAAGATTAGGGAGAGGAAAAAAAAACCATTTTTTTTTTTGGCCTGAGATCTGGCTGGGCAAAGCTTTCCACATTCTCCTCTCTGACCCTAATGTGATCTGATGTTAGTCACATGGCATCTCTCTGAGGGTGGTGTGCAGGAGTGGGCTCCCTGGTGTCACTGGTCACGTCTTGCCCCTGTGTGCACCACTTTTACTTCCGCATCCCTGCCTCTGAGTTTGTAGCCAGATACACCAATAGGAATGACCGTGGGACTTTGCACGTTGTTTAAAGTGACACAGTTTTTAAACCGATCTATATTTTGGCCACTTCCTTTCTAAGTTGAGGGCAAAAGTTCCATCTCTGTGCACCTTGCATCTTGAATTGCTCAAGGAAATAGTGCAGGGAGGTAATAAGAGTAAAGATTCAGGTTAGACGGGCTTGGGATGAAACTTGGCTGTGTCGTTTAACGCGATGTGTCTTTGTGGGAAAGAGTAAATGTTTCTAGTGCTCAGTTTCCTCATCTGCAAAATGGGCTTGCGAAGAATGCCAACCGTATAAGGTTGTTGTAAGATGAACATCTTTCAGTCTGCTGTGCAGTACAGAGCTCAAGAAGTAGTAGTTTTCATTATTTGTTGTGCGTCTTTCCTTCTGCATAAATTAGAGGTAGTTTTGTATGTCTGCTTCCCCCAATCCAAATGGGAACTCCTTCTCATGAGTCACCACTACTTTCCCGTTTTATCCCTGTACTCTTCAGTGCAGGGCCCTGCACTTATGGACAGTTTCAGAACTGTTTCTTCTTGAATCTTGTGGATCCTCCCAGTGCCTTTAGGAGGGCAACAGAATCTCATTTCACAGCAAGCTAGTGCTGCAGGGCTATAGCGACTTAATGATGTTTGTTTAGATGTTCAGAGCTGGGCCAAGACTGGGCTCCATGTAACTCGTGGTCACTGCATATTCTAGCTTCCAAAATGTTCTTATGAACATAGCCCCTTCTTTCCCCATGTGTCACCCACAGTGCACACACATGGCACACACACTATGCATGCATGCTTCAGACACACACACACACACACACACACACACACACCCTACACAGACACCTTATTTGCACCATTGTCTGTTCTCAGACCCAACTTTTGCCATTTGTCTTTCAGCCTCTGCCACCCCATGGCCCACAGATCCCAAGCCTCCGGGCTGAAGGGCCCGCTCAGCCTCCTGGACTGACCCTCATGGGACAACGAAGGCTGCATTGTATCCGAGAGGCCTCTTGGTTACAAGACTTAGCCCCGGAGTCAGTCCTGGTTCTCAGCCCTTCCTGGGAATGTGATAGAGTGAAGAATGTGTTCTGTCCCAGCCTCAGCTTTCCATCCATAATGTGGGGTCAGCATCAATGGCTGCCTCCCGGGGTTGGGATGAGGGTGCGCAGGCCGCCTTCAGGGAGAATGGTGGCTGCCCCAGCTCTGATGCAGCGTCTGCACCTTCACCCCCTCACGCTTCCGCACATGGTGTCGGGTGCCCAGGCACTGACCAACGCTGGGAATCTAACGGTGACCAAGACATCATCCTTGTCCTCAGAAACCTTGAAAACAGTAGATTTGTCCTCCAAAGCCAAAGAAGGTGGCACTGGAACTAGGAGGAAAATTTTTTAAACTGTGGAAGTATTATACTTGGAAGGGATGGATTAGTCTTCATTAAATCAAATTCAAATAAAGGGAAAAATTAAAATGATTAGATTAGATGTGGGAAAGTAAATTGGGCTTTAAAAAATTCCATTTTTGGAGCTGAATGTGGTAACACACACCTGTAATCCCAGCACTTGGGAGGCTGAGGCAGGAGGATCCCCTTGAATTTGAGGTGAGCCTGGACTACATAATGAGTTAAAGGCCAGCCTATACTACATAGTGAGACTCTCTCTCAAAAAACCAAAAGAAAATAAATAAAATGTTCCCTTTTTGGGAAGTGGGAGCAATGGAGAAAGGTTGGTTTTTATGCATTCTACATTTTTGCTTACTAATATATGCACTAATGCAGGGGAAAAGGTAGTGTTAAGTGCTCCTGCTTATGCAGGGTGCTGTGGAGAGGGCACGCTGGGAGAAGGCAGCCCTGCCTTCTCTTAATATGGCTCATAGTGCCGGGAAGTGATGGTGAATGAAGCCAACTGCACAAAAACCTGGAATGTGTCGTTGATGATAATAACAGCCATCAGAGACTAGAAGTAAGGCAGTGGGAGTGTAGGTGGGAGAAAGATCTCCTTGCCTGGCTGGTGCAATCCTGGAGGTCTTCTTGGAGGAAGGGGCATTGGACTACATTTTGAAGACTGCTCAAGATTTCCAAAAGTAGAGTTAGTGGAAGGGAAGAAAAAGGGCAAGATTGGTCTATATGAAGAAAATAGCATGAAGAAAGAGAGTCAGGGACTTTAGACAAACGAGAAACGTTTGATTTGTTCAGGGCTTTCTGGCTGGCATTAAGTGAAGCACATGGTTAGATGATGATTGGAGTCAGAGAACCCTTATTTCCGAGGTAGTGGGTTGAATATTGTTCTCTTTATGTTCATGTCCACTTGAACCTCAAAATATGACCTGGTTGGGGCAAATAGGGCCTGTGATGGTTGAGCTTGTCAATTTGAGCATATTAGGAGACTCCTGGAGAGGTGATTGGGTCCTGGGGCCCTAGACTCATTAGTGGATCAATCCACTGATGTTCCTAGATGATGTGCAAAGGCAGAGGGGCCCAGTTGGATGTGGGTCGCTGCAGCTGAGCCTTTGGAACGTGTGTCTCTTGGGCACTCCTCCCCATATGCTTGGCTTCCCCACTACCACAAAGTGAGCAGATTTGCTTTGCCATGCCCTTCCGCCATGATGTTTCTGCCTTGGAGCCTGATGAACATGGACTATAACATCTGAAACCACGAGCCAAATAAAGCTCTCCTCCTTTAAGTCATGGCATTGGATATTTTGTCCAGCAATGGGAAAGTTGACTAGAAGAACTTCTTTGCAGATGTAATAAGTTAAAGATCTCAAGATGAAATCTTTCTGGATTTAGGGTGAGCCCTAAATCCAATGTGTGGCACTTTATAAGAGAAGGGAGAGATTTGGGCACAGAGGAGACACCTAGGGAAGAGGCCATGTGGAGACTGGAGGGATGGAGTTACAAGCCAAGGGATGTCTTTGACCACCAGAGCTAGAGAATCAAGGAAGCAGTGTCCCCTAAAGAAGACTTCATAGGAAGCCGGTCCTGCAGACACCCTGAGCTTGGGTTTCAAGCCTCCGGAACTGCAAGGGAATCAGGTTTTGTTGTTTTAAGTCATCAAGTTGATGTTAACCTCAGCAGCTATAGGAAAGAAAACACACAGGGACACTGTTATGGTTTATATCTGGATGTCCTCCAAAGCCTCATGTGCTCATAGAGGGACTTTGGGAGGTGGACTGGGTCATGGGGGTGTCCACTGATGAGTTTACAGCTGACTTGCTGTTAGGTCGTGAGACCTGGTAGAAAGGGGTGGACCTCTGTGGGCGTGGCCTGGAAGCGTTTATCCCTCCCTTCTCCTCCCTTGACTGCGCTTCCTGGCGCCTTGCTGTGAGCTGTTCCTCCTCTGCCTCTGTGCTTTGCTGTCCCGCCTGGGAATCAGCAGACTATGGACCAAAACCTCTACAAACTGAACTGCTTTGTAGTTACAGTGGACCCTTGGCTTATGAACTTCTTCAGTTCCTGAGGGCTGGTTGTAACTCAAGTTGGTTGTAAGTCAATCCAGCTGAGATCTGGATATGTACCTGGGTACACAGTGTAGATAACAAGAGGCAGATGAGTCTTCTATTAACCTAAATAACTCAAGTTGTTCGTATGTCAGGCCAGTCATAACTTGAGGGTCCACTGTAAACCTTTCCTTCTTTAAGTTGCAGGTGTTGGGTATTTTGTCTCAGCAATGAGAAAAACAACCAAGGTATTTCAAACAAGTTAACTTAGCTTGGATGAGCCTCAATTCCTTCATCTGAAGAACAAGGAGAATAGTGCCTTTCCTGTAGGAACATCATGAGACCTAAATGTGAAGCCCTTAGCTTGTTAGCTTATTGCCTAAGAGGTGGAGAGTGAGTAAAATGGAAAGATAAGAGTAATTGTAGGAGACAGGCTAAGTTTGAACTTGGTTCTGAAGGCAACGAGGTACTGGATATTTCTAAACCCTGTGTGGTTGATTGAAATGAGGCTGCTCAGGCCAGCACTCAGGGTTGCTGAGGTGGCTGGGACAGGAAGGAACAAGACCTGTATCTGGGAGAGCAATGAGGAGGCCGCCACCAGCTCCGGACTGGCTCGTTGAGTGAGGTGTTTCAGGCAGAAGGAAGGAAGTTGATCCTGGGGCGGGGTCACCTCACAATGTGCCTGCTGTGTGCTGGGCTGTGAGAATGCACGTCCCTGGAGCATTAAAGGTTTTGTGTGAGCAGTATTCACAAA